AGAAATCATTATATTCTTTTAATGTTCCATAAAGATTTGTTTTCATCTAATTTTTAAATTCTTTTGACAGATTAATGGTAAACTTGCCAGACACATCCAACAGAGAAAAGATACTTAGGGTAATATTAGCCAAAGAAGAGTTGGCACCAGATGTCAATATGGAAGCTCTATCAAGTATAACTGATGGTTATTCAGGAAGTGATCTGAAGGTCTCTTTTGTTTTTTAACATGTTTTTAGAATATTATCCTTTATTTTTCATTTTTGGGTTGTGTGTAAATGATTTGTTTCATGATTACCTTTCAATATCAGAATCTTTGTGTTGCTGCTGCACATTGCACCATTAGAGAAATCCTGGAAAAGGAAAGGAAGGTTAGTTGCCCATACATCTGTGTTGCTTGCTTAGCTCCATGTATATTCACTTTTCATAGTGCTTAGTGACCTTTCACAATGATATTAACCTTGTTTTTCTTCTTGTGGTTCTGCACTTGATTTGTCAATGGATGACAGTCATCGTGCTCGATGAATTGCTTTGCTCATATGCTACCTTTTCTTTTTCTTGATGATGTCGATAAACATTGATAATGTTGTGGTGGTTATCTATGCATTAAAATTCAGTTGTTTTTATTTTTCCTATCTATAGTCAGCTTTTACCCAACGTATTCAACTGATTATGTTGCATTTAGAGATTAGCTTGTGTTACATGCCACCATTTAGTCTTAGGTCCATCTATTAATTTGTGCTCTTTTAACTCTTCCTTAATGTTAGGTATTGTTTTTCTGTTGTTATGCCTAACATGTGTACATGGGAGCAGTTGGTGGTGGACTCTTTGATGATAGTAGCCATAGGATATGCTTGCCATCTAGATTTGCTATAGTTCCCGAGCTTGTTTTCATTTTTATAGAATTTGTCTTATGTAGGTTCAATTGCTTATACCTTTGAGATAAGCACAACTCTCGACAACAATGTTTGCTTATTCTCTTCTTAACTCCTGTCCGTGGAATTTTCAGTGAGTTTCTGTGTTGCATGCATTTAGCACAGAACTTTATCTCTCATGGTTTCGTTGTATAAATTCAAGTTCTTGGACAAGTACCTATGTTGTCTAATTAGGCTAGCACATTTTCATAACTTTAAGAGTATTGGCATCAGGTTAACTTGTGTGCACTCTGTATTATTGGAAAAGGCTTGGCTGGTGATTATCACTTTGCTTTTTTCATCCCTTTTGCTTGGCCAGTTTTTTTTTTGTTCCATGGGCTTTTGCTTTCCTGTTGATGCGTGCTACAGTAATTACAAAACTTTCAACCATATGGTTCTTATGAATTTACTTCCTATCTTCAGGAGAGAGATGCAGCATTAGCAGAGGATAGACCTTTACCAGTCTTGCATGGTAGTGATGATATCCGTCCTATAAGCATGGATGACTTCAGATATGCACATGAACAGGTAAACTTTGATTAATCTTTGAACAGGCATTTTATTATATTTTTCATTTTGAGTTTGTTGCAGTTGTGCTGGAGGTCTCTTCCATCATAGGCACCTCTAATGTGCTACCATGCTTCCTCATAAAATCTGCATATCATATTTGCTTTGCATATTTTTCGTGGTTTCCCATTGCCATTTTTTGGTGGTCTGTGACTCATGTTTGGTCTCCCCAGCCTTAATTAGTAATGAAGATGCTTAGTATAACTGTTCTACAGTGGTTGATCTATCTATATTATCTGAAATATAACCCTAATTTCTGATTTATTTTTATTATTGTCTGTATTTCTATATAGTTTTCAGGTAATTGACACTTGGTTTTCTCCAAACCATTCATTTAATCAAACTGTAAAAGCCTCTTTCTGTCTAAGATGCATTCCTCTCTTGCTTCTATGGGAGCAATAGTTAGCCTACGTATGACCTCCTTGTGTGCTTGCTAGTGTTTTAAAAGGGTACTTTTGCGCTCGCCTAAGTGCTCGAGCGAGGTGACGTGAGGTGAGGCCCAAGTGCCTCACATAATTGTCGTGCGCTTCAATGAAGCGCTGGTTGGGCGCTCGCCTGAGCCTAGGTGTTGGGCGCCTCGAGCGAGCAACCAAACCACTATTGTAGCTTTCGTGTGGAGTTCCCTCTGCTGTCATTACTTCCATGTGCAGCTCCTTTCACCACCAAGGGATAGGACTATAACTTCCTCCGCCACCAATAGACACATCTGAAGCTTCCTCTGCTCTTGATGTCGCCGTCTGCAACTTCCTCTGTTGTCACTGTCGTTGTCCGTAGCCTTCTTCATCGCTGCTATCGCCATCCATAGCTTCTTCCGTGCTGCTGCCACCGTCTGAAGGTTCCTCTATCATCGTCGCCCTCTCCTTTCCCACGTTCCACCATTGGTTACTTCTTTTCTCCCCCTCTATTGTTATGACTACTGTTAATAGTGGATTAAATACCGTTAACGGTGGATTGTTAATCCTTAACTAATATTAAAACTATTATTACCATATAATAAACTAAAACTGATATTAATCCTTAGATCTATTGACCTGTTTAGAACTAATTCCTATTTAGAATTACAAATCCTTATTCAGCATTGTTAATCGTTATTTAGAATTATTATTAGTCCATATTTAGCATTGTTAATCTTTATTTAGTTAGAATTGTTATTAGGATTTCAGGATTAATAGCAAGTGTACAAAGCAATACAGAAAATTCATTAAAAAATTTAATTTAATATCATATTTTTATTTATATAATTATGTTTATCAATTATATTATATTTTTTTTTATATTTTAATATTCTAGTGTGTCTTGCTTCACTCAGGCGAGTATGCCTCAGGCATTTTGGGACCTTGGTGTCTAGTGCTTTTAAAAATACTAGTTTTTTGCTTCATTGAATATAGGAAATCTTGAAACAGAAAAAGGTTCAACATAACTACTATCTTTATATGCTTGTTTTTCTTTTGAGAACACTTACTGATTAATAACATCATGATATTGTAGGTTTGTGCTAGTGTTTCATCTGAATCCTCAAGCATGAGTGAACTTCTCCAATGGAATGAGCTGTATGGGGAAGGTGGTTCGAGGAAGAAAAAAGCACTCAGCTATTTCATGTAGTGGATTTGTCTACCTTGTACAGCTCCTTGTTAAAGCTTCTGCAGAAAATCTGAGATCGGCAATCAATCGTTATACCCTGCGCTTCTTCCAGGCATGCATCCGTTATTTTTAAATACTAAATTTACTATCAAATTTAGGTTAATTTTAATTGTAGCAACCTACTTAATGGAATTTACTTCCATGTATATACAATACAATCCCATGAAAAGTGGATTAACTTTTGGGACAAGGCCTTTTTTTTTTCCATGTATTCTTCTCCTGTAATCCAACCAGTAAAGCTTAGAATTTGCAAGATGTCACAACTGTTGTTCTACCTGAAAGCTTTGTTTTCCTGCACTTGGCTCTTCTTTTGTGTAGATCTCCAAGGGTTCCTACCTTTTGTGAACATGTTCGTTTGGGTACTTCTACATGCCCAGAATACTGCCACCGTAGAACAAATTTCAAATTGTTGTCCTTTTTTTTCCTGGACGTCGAGTATTCACATGACTTTGTTTAAGGACAATCTTATCCAGGATTTTCTTTTTTCTAATCTGAATTGTATGTACTAGATACAATTTTGCGAATTATTGCAATCTTGTTGTGGACGTTCTTTCTAGGGATGTCATAGGTGACATTCAATGAAACATGAAAAAGCATTATCGGCAGCAGTATAGTATGATTGCTTTTGTAGTAAGCTAGAGATGCCATTTGGTGTGCCGAATTTTGCATCATGTGACTGGATGGTGAGTGGTTATCTGGTTGTGTTAAGAAGTGGTATAACAAGGTGGAAAGTAGAAACTTCACTAGATTTTGCAGTTGATAAGCTTCAGCATGCCACCATCCTTCTGCCTACCGACAACAATAGTGGACCAGATTACTGAGTTCTCCAATGGGGGAGAAAAGGTAGGTTTAAATGGTGTCCTGCTATTTATAACTGAGTTCTCATTCATAGACAGTTTTAATGGAGTCTACTCTTGAATATGCTACAAATTTTATCATCGATTGTAGTTGATGATTGCTGTTTTAGCTTGTTTTAATATGATCTTATTGTTTAGTTTAACGCCCAGTGAGGTTTTCGAAATGATTGATTTTGAGCAAGTAAACTTGAAGGTATGCAGGCACCATATTTATAGATCAAACTGCCATCATCATCTCTATTCAGTATTGTACCTTAGTTTCTTTGTTCATGCTTACACCTGCCTCCATTATGTTTGAATTTTTAATTCAATTTTACCTCATGAAAGATCCATTTTGTTCGACTTGTGCATGTTTCGCGGTTTGACCAATTACCGACATTAAAAATGTAAAGCTTGGCATACTTGCTCAAGTCAATGTGTAACTTAGATACATTGACCATTTCATACTAAATAATTCTTCTATATACAGAGGGGTCGTCAATAATATAAATTGGACATTTCATTGATGATCTTAACTATATTTATATATACGGAAAATTAAAATATGAGAAAGACTAATTATAAGAAAAGGGGGAAATTAAACAAAACTTGGCCTATCATTGTGGTTTGACAAACACCAGCGGACGGTCATAAATGGCTGCTGCTGCTCACGGTCGTCCAATGAATCAGGCGACAATTCCGTACTCGTGCTGGTTGCACGGTTTTTGGTGCGGGGATTGACGGCGATGATCTGGTACACGGTTTCCTTTGCTTTTGGTATTTCCGTGTTCCCCGTCTCTGCCATCGGTCATGATGCTACCTCAGCCGTCAGATCTCATCTGTTCAGACGGGCCCACGGGCCCCTCAGGGTTTGACTCCCCCACAGTTGCTGTTATCCTTCACGTTGGATCTTTTAACGTATAGTAATCGGCTTATGTGGCAACGTTAGAGAAAGGTCGAGAGGTCCCTGCGTGGCCACAGTTAGTGACGGGAACTCGTTCCGCCGCTTCTTCTGCACTGTTTTCGCTACCTTTATATAGTACCTGCCGCGGCTCCACCGTTATCAACGGGTCGGCTTCTTCCTTTCCCGCGGCGCAGGTTAGCGGGATGGAGGTGATGAGGCACGTTTCCACTTTTCTACGGCCTCCTCCCCTTCCCCAGGCGGCCGACGGGCCCGCTCCATCGTACGCTCTCGTCGTGCTTAACCAGCGCCTCCCTCGCTTCGCGCCCGACTTGTGGAGCCATGGTGAGCCCGTCCTCCTCCTCCTCCTCCTCCTCTCTCTCTCTCTCTCTCTCCAGCTCTTCTCTCTAGAGTTTCCACTGGGGCTGTTGTGGATGCTGATACGACTGGAAATTGGGATTATTTTGTGTAAAGCAGCAAAGCTGAGGATCTTTGCCGACGGAGGGGCGAATCGGGTGTATGACGGGATGCCGAAGTTCTTCCCTGAGCAAGATCCGCTGGAGGTCCGCCGCAGGTTTTGGTTTCTCGATGAATTCTTGTTTAATCTTGTTCGGGATGATGTATGAACTTTTTCGGTCTTCATCGTATTAACCAATTTGTTCTGTAGATGATTTGTTGAAGTTCTATTTGCATTTATATCTTATCTGGAATTCGTTATAAGATTTATGCATGCTTCTTTTTAGAAATATGCTGAATTTCTTGTGTTGTGATTGCTTGCTTATCTATCTGAGGACGATTGTTGAAGACTAAATCAAGCACTATTCAAATAATTACTTGAAGAGTTTCAATATTTTGCTAAATATCAGTTTGCAAATTTACTAAGTCATGTTGGGTAATATAGTGCACTCTGCGCAACAAGAAAGAACGTTGGATCTCTGGCCTTATGGATTTATTTGTTGATTTTAAATGAGTTATCTTGTTTGTACATATTGATCTTTTTTCCTCGATGTACAATTTTTTTTCCTTTTCTTAGTAAGGTAATTCCATTTATTGGATGGTTGTGATCTCATGGTGAGAGTGATTCAATCTATTGTCTAACCAAGACCTTAACGATTGTAGATGAAAATATAAATGGTGCCTTTTGTGTTTCCAGATTAGAAATTTTGCTCGGGGCAGGGATCGGACATGTGTGTCTATTTTAATGCTACATTGGATAGCAAAAGACCTTTTAAGTGCTTGCTGACTACATTGAAATACTTTCTTTTACCTTGAGGTGCCTTCTTATATTAGTCCCTGTAGTTGTGTTTGACATATGGTTTAAAAAGTTCATGATTGCTTATATTGTCGATCTTGTTTATCCTTTCAATATCCTTCTCATCCTTCCGATCAGGATGATTAACTTGACTTAGGATGGATTTAAGTCAATAAAATAAGATTTGATGCAATAAGTTCCTTTCCTTTGTTAGATTTTAGCTTCATGATTTAGGTAATCTAGTGCTGTGGTTGGGGGGCCAAATGTCCCAATACACAAGAAACCACTGGCCCTGTTGCTCTAGATGGTGGCTTGGTCCATATAAGATTCAACATTTCAACCTCAAGCTCTATATGTTCAATAAAGATTGTGAATGCTCCTGATAGTGTTAGGAACTAAGATCGTAGGAAAAACAATTTTGCTTCTTCTCATAATGCAAAGTGTTTTTTTTTAACTATGCTGCTGTTTGCTTTTTTATCTTGCTAGTTTTGCACGAAATTGTTAGAAGTTACTGAATTCTTCTTTTCAAAATTGTCAAAGGTACAAGCCAGATGTAATCAGAGGTGACTTGGACTCGATAAGACCAGAAGTCAAGGAATTCTATTCCAACCTGGTTGGTTCTTTGTTCACAGATTGTCGTATTATATTTGTTGATGTCTTATTTATCGAAACTTTATCTGAAAGGGTGTTATCTTGAGCTTCGCCTACTTAAATGGCAAAGTCTGGCTTAAGTTTTATCTTAAACTGCTATGAATCTGTGATGATTATTCAGTCTGTCTTCATGTGTTAAATTATGATTAATGTTCTGTTAGGGCATTTCAAAAGCTGACATCTCTTAGTCCCCTTTTGTGGACATAATGTTAAACATCAGGACGTTATGTGGAAGTTTAATGAATTGTCTCAACGGTGCTAATATTTATTTTTTTCTTGGCAGGGTGTCAAAGTAGACGATGTGTCTTATGATCAGGACACCACTGATCTGCACAAGTGTATAGCTTTTATCTGTGACTTCATACCTGAAGTGGACAAATCAAATGTAAGCTGCAATAACATTATTGAGTTAGATGCTATTTTATATATGTTTTTCTGTTGAACATTAATCTTATCAGATTACCTTGGATGAATAGTCAGATGTGTGAGCAAAATAAAGTTGTGTGCATAGCTCGTAAGATAAACCATTCATGAATAAGATCTTGTGAGTAAAACAAAGTTGAATGCATATCTTATAAGATAAAAGCCATGCATAAAAAATGTAGATTCTGTGATCAAAATAAATGTAATTGATTTTCTGTATAAAAAAGGTAATTTATTTTCATTGTGGATGCATTGCCTTATACTGTGGAAATGAATGTAGTTGATGGAACCAAGGTTATATATATATATATATATATATATATATATATATATATATATATA